TGTCACAACTGCGATGGCTTGGGCATGTGTTGAATGCCTCCAGAAAGGAAGGCTAAGCAACTGTTCCTTGCAAATCCGACCGGCAGAAGGCCCAGGGACGGCCATGATTAACACGGTTCATATATCTAGGAGTACGCTCTAGACCGCGGTTGTCTTCAGCCGAAGCCGTTTGAAGCATGCCTCACGGTCTGACGCGTCTGCCTAATCGATCTGAAAGGAGAAACGGTTATAAAAGGTGAAGATGAATCACTGAGTCTACATCAGCTCCGCTGAAGGAGAATGTTGCAATTTTCGGTAGAAATACAGATTCTTAAATTTAAACTTCAAACTAAATATTTGTGTTGTACAAATTTAAGTGTACGGTTTGAGCAGATTCTTAGTCGGATTCAGGTGATAACACGAAGAGCAGCCAAAGCCGAACTCACAAGCGCACTGCATATTGTTTGCAGGTATGGGACTTGGTACTAGCTGGTTGAAAAATGTACCTGATGTAAAATGGCTGCTGAAGGGAGTTAGCAGTTAATAAGAGAAAATTTACGCCTGGTATGGGTTTCATTCCGGTACGTTTAAAGAGCAAAGCAAGCCATTAACTCATTGCGCGGACGCTACCAAATGAAAGTGACAAAAAAGCAACAACTTTCTTAAGTTCTTCATTTGCTCAATCACTCCTCAGCGGAAACAACCTACACAGTAACACCTAATGAAATACTCAAAAAACACCTCCTTATGTAATCAATTTCGAAGAACTATAGCTCTCCGAGGAATAGGATACTAGGTGAATGTTACGGTAGCAACTAGGATGCTCAAGAAATGCTTTTAAAAACAACTCTAAATCTGCAGCAAGGGACAAGGAATTACTAGTTTTATTTATTTTCGCACTGCTGTTAAGTTTAATAGAGCTTTCTCGTTGAACTTATCTCTGACGATAACAATTGGCATTGGCAATAACAACAGTAGAATGAACAATTCTATTTCAGAATTCCAATGATTATGACCTGTTCGAAATAACATATAAGCAGCAGAGTGTGCTAGCTAGTAATATCGCCCTTCCATTTGCAGTCACAGTTTTACTAACCGCTTTCCTTTCTGTTTCTTGTTTTGCTACTGAAAACTTGTTAGCTGCTTTGTAAAGGCATTAGTTGTGCACACGCTGGAAAGCTGCTAATACAGTCTGGCAGTAACAGAAAAAGTTCCAACAAGTTCAGGCAAATCTTAAATAACAACCTTTGAAATTTTGTTGCTTAAGGTTTGCCTGGTATTCATCGCATTGGTCCTTTGTTTTAAGGCATACCTTCAGTCCGTCACCAATTAAATTTTTGGAAATGATATTTAATTCCCATTTATCGAAGTACAACTGTCCGTTTCGTTTAGTTCAAATGTCATTGTGTTTCGTAATTTGGATCTGGTTGCGCTTATCGTTCAGAGAAACACAGAAGGTCTCTCGAATTTACGTTATTCAACTAATTTTCAGACCTAAACATTCCATCAATGCCGATATTAAACTCCGTATTAAACGACAACTGTTCTCATTTCTTTTTGCAAAACGCTCACCTCCCGTCTATGGTGATCGATAAACGAATAAGAACATCGTATCGCAACAGTACAGACAGTGCTTTGTCGGTATAGTTATGGCAGAGCATATGAAACAAACAGTCACTGTACCTAGTCCGGGACTGAATTTCGCCCTGACAGTGGACGAAGAATCTGGTGAGATGCAAAATCCAAGCAAACATGGCATGATTGTACGTAGCTTGTGTACGTTTCTAAAATTGATTAAAAGTTAGTCTGGTGAACCTGCTAGATTGGGCCAAATGTATACAGTAGTTGACTCTTACACTTGTCCGTACGTCGTATTCTGTGTTACTGGCTGTAGGTTTCTTCAATTCGAGTAGAGACTGTGCTTAAAATTGCTGTTTAGTAAATAACTCAGAAATGGGAATATTCATTTCGCCGTAAAATTTTCCTTATATTAGAGTTTGTTTGATTTGTAGTCGTTAAAATAACCTTCTACCAGTTCAGCATAAACTTCATTGCAGTTTATGGCTTCAGTATAGTTATTCGCAGCTGATGATTTCTTCATCTGAGCAGCCGTTGTAATTCTATGTGATATACTTTAGTTACTTATTTTCATTTTTTACTTGAATAATTATAGTCCATGGCGTGATGTATGCTGTTTCAGAGGTTCATGTTTGAAGATATGCATCATTGTTCATTTAAAATATTCACCTATACTCCGACAACTGTTGTTTTCAACCTCATTTTCTGAAGCCATGAATACGCTTCATATTCGGAGAAAAATCTGAGAACAGAACGCAAACGAGGTGCTAATTTGTTGCATAATATGGACATCACAAATCTTCAAACTTAAAAATAAGACTCGTTAGAAACTTAAGCAGCTGAAGTATAGCTTACCGTTTCTCCTTCGGAAAAATTGATTTCTCATTTTTTTTTATCTCCCCTATCCGTCCACGTCGTTAGGGTATATTTTCCGTACTTTAGGAAATTCGTTCAGATTTAAATTGTCCACTCTTCGACAGAACGTTATGTTTGAGCGCGATACAGCCATGATTTGTTCTTTTCGGTTTCGTGCTGTTCGAAGGTTTGTAGATTCAGCAACAGTGGATTTACAGCTATCGATTCAATTTCTACAGGCTTGAAGAAAAGTTCAGATCAGACTTTAATCGGGCGGGAATCTATCGCATTTTCGTTGGTTTTTAATTAATTCCAGGTGAGTACTTACGCTCATTCATTTTGGGCGAATTTTCATTATGTCTTATAATCGATTTGCTACTTTATAACGTTTCGTTCATTTGCGATTTTTCTGACCATGTGCTCGGAAATGTGTTAAGTATTTCTTATTCTTGTCTCGTAGCATCAGGGAGTGATTTTTATTTTTTTCGTTTTTGTATTCTTTGGTGCATGAAGAAATTCTTGCCGTTGGACTAAAGTTCTATATTTCTATCTATATTGCGATTTCAT